TAAGCAAAACCTCTAGCAAATATAGAATTCCATGGTTTAGATCACAAACAAGACCGAACAAAGTGTTAGTTTAAAATTGATGACTAGATATACCCGAAATTACAGCCATACAAACAACATTTAATGATCACATGAAGTTTTTGTAAGCTTTATGCTTAATACTATAGTCTTTTCATGGTAGAAGACAAGGGAAGGAGAGTAGCTTATCGGTTAAAATTACTTCCCATAACTTCAATCCACTTTGTGTCTCATATTTCCCTTCTCAAAAAATCCATTAGGTCTCATATGGTAAACCAAACACCTTCATAAATTACATCTAAACTCCCTCCTTCCACCCTAGCAATATTTGACAAATGCATCATTAAAAAGTGGAAGAAGCCCTTTGTCTAGTGGCTGATTCATTAGCATGACCTATCACCGGTAGAAGTTACTTGGCAATTTATCAAAGAGATTAAGAGGCATTTTCCAACATTTTCCTTTGAGGACAAGGGCAATTTAAAGGGGGCGTGATGCATAAAAAAAATATTTGAAGCTAAATTAAGAAAGGAATTAATTGAATTTGGAATTAGGGATTAGCATACTTATGTGTAAATAAACTAATTTATGATTGAGATAAATTTTTAGGTTAATGCCATTGTGAGCTTAAGTAATACCTAGGCTTGGATCATTAATGTTAGCATAGGCTTGCTTAGTTATTATCAATCAAAATTCAGTCATCTCTAGTTATAAAAGAGTAACCACAAAAACAAAAGAATAGAACAACAAATATTAATAAAATTTGTCTTCTTTGCCACCTTTTTTATCTCTTCTCCTTCATCCATCCTTCCTTTTCTGTCTTCTTCTCTCCTTTCTTCTTTATCCCTATCATACTCGCATATATGTATCCAAATTCTATTTATATGGGTTAATAGTTATAGGAATCCCTCTACTCTTATTTTTGTCTTAATCTTGCCCTTTTACTTTTTTTTCATATTAATTCCATTCCTCAATGTTTAGTTTGTTTCTTGAGTTCATTCCTCCATCAACTTTCCTAGCTAATGACATTAAATTTCCTTATCAGTCATATAAGATATTAACACTTGTTTTTTTTTTTCAAATTTAAGTAAAAGCATTTTGAATTTTTTTAAAAAAATCATATAAATAACCCGAACCCAATTCAACCTTAAATTAGACCTAATTTCTTTCTTTCTATCTTCTCTTCTCGTTGATCGATTGATCAACTTTCTTCAACATAATCAACCTTTATCTTGATTGATTGACTATCATTCACCCCTCTATTCTCAACCCTTTTCTTCTCTTCCCTTTCATTCATTACCCTTTTCTTTTCTTCTCATCCCTTTCTCACACATATTCTCCATTTTATCATAGCTTTTTTTGTCCTTTGTCACCAATTCAATGGTTTCTCCAAGTTCATCCAATGAGTTAAGAACTAGAATAATTATGTCAAATATGTGCTAAAACGCCTCAAAAATCGAGTATGATTATGAAAGGGGTTCTCTGTTCTATGATTGTGGAGAACGAGTTCAAAGATAAACATCATGAAGTGATCTCCACCCAACTCTCAAGTTTTTCTATCGTCTAGTTTATGCCGCAAGTAATTATAGAAAGGATCTTGGTTGTGATTTCTATAAATGGTGTGAATTATTTATATTAGGTAGAGATATGATTTTGGGCATGAGAGATAAAAAAAAATTACATATTGAAAATTAACAATTGATAAGAAAAATGAGATTTGGTATTGAAATTGCAAAATTAAAAACCGAGAATCGATAATTGAGGATCAATCGGTACTATGAGAAGGAGCAACTACTTAAAAAGTTACAACACTTAGCTTTAAGAAAAAGTATATGTTAGAAGAGGTTTATGTTTTAAGGGGAAAAAAAATCAAAGACTATAGATGGACATATGAGAAAGTTTTGCTTAGATACAAAATGAAAATTTTGTTATGTTTAATGTTTATTGCTATTTTGTTAATATATGATTAGTAAGAGATGTGATTTTAGATATTGTTATTCATACGTGTTAGTTCTCGCTCTAGTCGACCTTTGTATTGCTACTTTTTTGCAAACACTTATTGGTTTGTTAATATATATAGTGTGGTTTTTATTGGTATATTTGTTTTAATATCAAAATACTAATTTCTTTGTTTATTCAAATGTTACAAACTTGGCATGAATAACACGATATTTTTTAAAACTCACTACATGAATGAGTATATATAACATGAGGATATAACAATCTCAAACATTAACATCCATTACACGTCATCCTTAACACAAGTAATTTAAATTTAATTACAAATAAAATCAAAAGATAACAAGTTCATAGCCACAACTTAAGTCTAACTTGTGTGCAAAATACAAAAAGCTAGAGCTAAATAACTAGCATCATAAACACCAACATCTAAATAACATAGTAAGGCCTTCTCATATCCCATCAATTCTACTTTGTCCTATTAGTAAGAGTGAGCATTATTTGGTTAAAATCAAAAAATCGAACCGAACCAAACCGAATTAGCAATTTTGGTTAGGTTTTATTTAAAAATTTTGAAAAAAAAAACCAAAACCAAAAATCGAATTATTTTAGTTCGGTTCGGTTTTTTTAAAAAACAAAATTGATTTCCATCGAAAACAAAATTTTGATGCAACCAAACCGTAGTAATATCTAATTATCTATCTTCTCTAGTTCTCTTCGCTGGCCAAATTACCAAAAACCCTTGTTCTCCACTTCTCCTCTCCTCACAAAATCATAATCCTATAACTCCCATTCATTAGTCATCACAGATCCCACATAGCTGACAACTTGAGGTCTTTAAGGTAGCTCCTCCCTCGGACTCAACCCAAGAATTCTTTCTTCCTTTCACTTATTTCGATGTAGCATGGCTAAAATTCCAAGCATTTGAGAGCCTTTATTTCTTCAAACTAGCCGAAACTGAATCAACTTCAACATATTTTCACTCAAAAATTGTCCCTACCCTCAAACATGCACTCTTACAAACTCTCCTCCATTTTCTCTCTCTAGCCGGCCACCTAACTTGGTCCTCCGAACCCATCTTTGTTTTCACCCCAAATGATGCTATCTCTTACGGTTGTTGAACCAGCAGTGATCATGATGATTTTGATTTGTTCACAGGTAATGGAGTTCGTGAAGCTAGTAAATCACATCCTTACCTACCTAATTTGCACATGTCTGATACAAAAGCAGCATTACTCCGTTTTACAAATCACATTATTTCCTAATAAAGGCTTTTCTATTGGCAAGGCTTCATATTTTTTAAAGGGTAGGGACGTGGGAATTGAAGTTTGGTGGGAAATTTAATAGCACCAATTTAGGTAGAGCAATTTAGATGCGATTTTTGGAAAGGAAAAAAAAATAACACAATGGTTTTAATCGAAAAACCGAATCAAAATTTTCGATTTTGTAACCGAATAACCGAACTTTAATTTGATTCGGTTTCGATTTCTTTTTATTAGATTTGGTTAACCAAAAACTAAAAAAAAAATACCAAAACCGAATGATCACCCCTACCTATTAGGATAAAAAAATTAATTGCTCACCAGTATTTCAAAAAATAATAAAATAAAGAAACTAAAATCAAAATTAGTTTATAAACTTGTAATTGAATGTAAATAGGTTGAGGATAAATTTGATCTTACATCCCATATAGAAAAACTAGTTTCATCCTCATGAAATCTTAGTTTACCCCTAACACGAGAAGAAAAGAAAGGGTGGCGAATGAGGGAAAGAGATCAAATGGTTAAGAATAAAGGGGTGAATGATAATCGATGGATCAATACAAAAGCTGACTACGGGGTGAATGCTAATCAATCAATCAGCAGGAAGGGAAGACAGAAAGAAAGTAGAGCAAATTTAGGACTGAATAAGCTATTTATATAGGTTTTTTTTTTTTCCAAAAATCATTTACTTAAATTCGAAAAAAAGACGTGTGTCAATATATTGTGTGACAACCGGTGCAATTTAACACTATTAGCTAACAAATAAATTAACAAAGAGACAAATTTAAGACAAACTAAACATTTCAGAGATGAAGTTAAGGAGAAAAAAATAGAAAAACACTATTAAGACCAAAACAAAAATAAAAGTACCCTGCAACCATCAACCCATAAATTCTCCAAAAGTATAACAATTAAATCTCCACTAATTCCCAAAGTTTACAAATGTTGGGTACGCTATTACCATTATCGTACTCTTTTAAAGGAAAAGCTTCCATAACTAATATTAAACTGCGCTAATTGTAGTTCATCTGTGCCTCACATTTGTTATCCTTATTATGATGTGTGAACTTCAAAGCATCCGAATTTAAATAAAGTTGCGTTTATTTTAACCAAGGGCACAGGTTCCTACCGGACCTCTAGCTTTGAGCACTGCCATCGTATTGCCTCTCTTGCCAGTTCCCATCTCCCATGGTACCAGCCCTTCGCAGGTGAAAGCATTGCTCTTCATAGTTGCTTTTATCATTTTGACGAAATTCTCCTGGGTTAACATGATTAAAAAATTGAACATATATTAGCAAGGTTTCAACTTTCATATGATAAGCTAAGGGGTAGTATAATTAACTAATTTATGCTTGCTTTGTTTTGGCAACCTCTATAAAGATGACTGAAATTAGTCCTACAATGCATGCAAATAAGTGTCTTATGTGCACATTGATAGTCGTCCTTCAGAATTTCAGGGCATTAGAGAGCTTCAGGGATTGATGAATCACTCTCCTATATGTTTCATTACATTTGCTCCCATTTAACTGGTGGCCATCAAGGCAGTTATTAGTAATTTTGCCTAATTAAGATATAATAATTTTGCTTTCATATTTTTATGGCGATGCAGAAAATCCAGTTGTGCTGCTGAAATTACAAGCCTATCTAGTAATCATCGGATAAAATAACCTCTAGGAGAGATCAGCACCTACTTTTTCTCTGACCACAGCCTCAAAATTTTGAAGTACAATGCTTTGCAAGACAACAAATGTTTACCTTAAAGGCTCATGTTCCACGGAGGGAACGAACACGGTCTTGAATCAAGTGCCTCTCCCAATCTGCTATATCTTCAAAAGCATATTCTGGTAGACTCTCAAAGGGCTCCTTCCATGGATCATTCTTAGCTAGATCGTAAGTGGCTGCACGTATTGATCCCTTATTGGGCCCACAAGGTCTCTTTGAAGTTAGAGTATCATAAGCTGCATTAAGCTGTCCCAAGGTAGTAGCGAAAAATGAATCAGAAAAATATGTTGCAGTTAGTGAACCAGTTAATCAAGAAAATGTATCCAAACAATCATTCTATAAGTCAGATAATATCATGATATCCATACTATATATAGGCATAGTTTTGTAAGTTATCAAAATAACAAGTCCAAAATTAAAAATAATAATTTTTGAAAAAAAAAAATTAGTAGAAGAGTTGAGAACTAACGTTCATGGAACAAAACCAGAACATGTAAGCTATCGTAACTGCAGGGGCTCTTCCCAGTCCAGCTGTGCAATGTACATACACTCTCCCTTTTCCCTCAGAAGCAGCCCATTCCAACGATGAAACAGCTTTGGGTAATATATTTCTCAAGGAATCTGGGTCAAAATCTGTTGCCTGAAGAAATAATTATATTTGCACATTCATCCAGTTAGAACAGAGAAATTATTGGTAATAAGTAAAACGCAGGCAGAAATACATGAAAAATGGTTGAAACATATAATAACTCATTTTCGCAATTAGAGTCTTCTACAAGTTCCATTTAAAATGATTATAGCTTTCTTACAGGCCTTCTCATATGACGGATTCCAAGTTGTTTACATCTTTGTATTATAGACTGCAAATCAATACCCCAATATTCAATGTCCTTGTCCTGCTGCAAGTTTAGAATGTAGGCCACATTCTCTTCATGTCTCAGATGTTCTATATCTTCAGGTTTCTGAGGTTGGGAGCCCACAATCACATTGTCAGTTATCAATGTGTAGTTCATACCTGAATCGAGCATGTCAGTTATTATCTGATTTAAGGAACAGTACACATTGTAAGATAATTGAAATGCATTTAGCGAAAAAAGTTGGGAGTGCGAGAGCCAAACTGGAATGCTAATGGCGGAATCCCAACACAAGATCCATAACCTCTTTCCAATAATTTTCATTTTAGACTTTTGTTCATGATGGTAGTAGCTCAATCAGCAAGAAAACCAAGCCTCATTTCCAAACTAGTTGAAACGGGTGTCTACAGTTGACACAAACAACTTTATTGGTGACTTCTGTCGCCATTCAAAAAAAATAGTTGCACAGTCGCTTCAAACTTTTCTATTTCCTTTTACTTTGATCTTTAGACCACTGCATGTAGGGCGGTAATAAATAAACTCATTGTCAATCATTTAATAAATAAAAATGATACAAATTTGGCATCAAAAGTTTTGTTTCTAAAAAGTTGCTGGGTTGATTCCAAACACTTTTCCATAATATCTAGACATATATATAATGCTTTCATTCAGCCCCACCTTGCTTCTGCATAATAAGGTAATATAAGTAGCAATGATAAGTCAGATTTCCCAAAATAGTGCACTAACTCACACAGATAAAGATTATATTCTATACTGGAAATTTGGTAGCTTTTCCCTAAAGCGAGTCTAACACCATTGATTTGTGAAATCTCAATAACTTATATCCGGAACTCACGGGTGGTTGGAGCATTATATTATCCTGGAACATGGTCAACTCCATTAAAAAGATAGAAATTAAAGGATCCATAGAAAAAGTACTAACCTTCTCTATGTTAAGCTAAACATCATACTTATGACACTGATCGCATAATATAACATAAATTAAGGATAAAATGATGCCATCCAGATTCAGATGCAGCCTAAAATTAGTACAAAATAAAATGGATTATTATTATTATTGGATTACTGTAGAATTGAATCTAAAAACATAATTTGTACTTAATATTTACTACCAAACCAATGTATTATGGAAATTTCATTGTATGGAAAAAGCAACAAGAACCCAGAAAAATATATCCATCAATCTACACACTTTCCTTAGTTGCAATCCATCAGAGAAAAACACACTGATTGTAGAAAAGGAACATAAAATACAGACACACACAGAAAGGCATTAACAAACACAGAACAAAATCTTAAATGGAAATGAAAGATGAAGAAGAAAAGCAAGGAAAAAAAAAAGTAAATAGAGGTAAAAGGGAAACTTTAACTAACGAACCAAGATCATGATGATACTCATATGGGTTCCTCATCATCTTTTTCATGGCAATATTATACTCTTCCATCCTGTTTCTTGAGCTCAATGAAACGTTTTTTCTTGTGGGGTTGTCCTCAATTCCACTCTCATGACCATGATGAATTCCAGTTCTGTCCATCTTGATGCAATTCTTAGAGACCATAAAATTGCATCTAGATTTCTTTCTCAACAACAACAAACCTTCCTTTTCAAGTGGGTATGCCAAACCTGTATAGAGGGAAATATTACTGCCAACACCGACCATATTTTCTCCCCTATCTTTCTGGTTCTTGGAATTCGTGGGGTGTTAAATTTTCTGCAACTTAGGCCACTTGAAATAACCACGATGTTTTCACGACAAGGTTTTTTAAATTTAAATAAAATGTCAATTTGGTACTCACAGTATTGTAAAATATGCAATCGAACCCTCATTTGCTTTCTTTCTTACTTTTTTGCTATCAAGTTCATGCATTGGTTTCCAATTGATTTTACCACCGGTAGGTGCACTGCAAGAATCTTTCTTCCCCTCTAGTATTTCAATTGTTTACTTACTTTACACGAGTGAGCTAAACAATGGAGATATGAGTTTTTTTATATTAAATCTCATATACGATTACTAATATTTTTAAATTCTAATGAGTAAAGTATTTATAAAAAATCTGTTAGTCATATTTAATTTTATTTTTCAACTCTATTAAACATACTGTAAATAAAGTTCTCCAAATTTTCATTTAATTTCCATGATTTTCATAAACAAAAATAATTATGTGAAGACATGATTGTAAGGGAAAAAAAATGGTTATAAGAATTCTCAATCTAATTAGCAAACCAAAGAGCTCAATAAATATTATCAATAGAATAACCGCCTCCATAAAGAAATCAGGTACGACTTGATTGAAAAAAATTTAATTATAAGGATAAGTTATATTTTTAAAACCAAATTGCAATAAAATAGTTTTTGGGACTAACAAAATTATTTAAAATTTGAAACTAAAATAAAACTTTTTGAAAATAAATATATTTAGATTTGGTGATGCATAAAGATATGACGAATGAGTTTTTGTACTCACCATCTGAAAGTAAACAACTAAACACACACACTCTTATTGCAACATGTATCACCTCCACAGCAACGTGTGTCAATCTCACAGCATAAAAGAGAAATTATCAAAATAGTTTGAACAAGAACAATTCTAATCGATTAGACAATCTTCAAATATTTATATAGTTAAAAAACTTTTCCGATAGTTATTTTTGTCTTATACATTTGATGAAATGGTGAAGATTAGTTTGATCTTTTAGTATTTGTTTGAAAAAACAAAAACAAAAATCAAAAATCAAAATACTTAAAAAATAATTAATAATATTTATTTTATAGATTCATAGAACACAAAACTAATAGAGAAAATCCCATCTCATTTATTAAAAATAATTTATTTGTATTTATTTTTTTTAATTCTCTCTCCCCCATCTCTTTTTATATATATATAATAGAAAATTAGAAAAAATAAATACAGGTAAATTATTTTATTTTTTTCATAGTATGAAAGAAGAAATTTCAAAATAATTAAAAATAATGAATAATATTTGTTTTGTTTTGTTTTATTAAAAAATTATTGTCAATTACTTCTTAAAAAAGATAAACGTGAAAGAACTTTTCTTTAATCCATGCTACAACAAGTAAAAAAAATTTCTCTAAATGAGTACATGATGATGCTAAATCGAGAATTAAGATTATAGAAATGATGTTGATGATAGTCTTGTTGGGTTTCAGTAGCTCCAGGTCCTTACTCGTCTTTTGAAGGCCATCATCTTGGATTTTTTTGGTATGCCAAAGTGCAAAGCATTTCTTTTTTAACTTTCTTCGGCCTCTCGATAAAACATATATAATGAAAAGCCCGGGAGAGAGAGAGAGAGAGGGAAAAAATAAATACATTAATATTTCTTACTTTTTTTTTTATCCAACTTTTTCTTTTTCGAGTGGTTTCTTTGGATTGAAATTAGATATTGAAAATTCAATTTCTAATTCCTAAATAGATGAAAGTTTGAAAACATGAGGATACCTGCTGCCATTAAATCATTAATTAATTTGATGATTGTGAATATAAAAAACGATCCATCACAAGATCTGCTTAAAACTTATTCATAAAATTTTAAAATTTATCCAGAAAATCGTAGAATTTTTTTTCTTTTAATCATCATTTTCCATCTATTTTATTTTTTCTTTCAAAAACAATCTCTTTCTTCAGAAAAATGTAGGTTCTCATTTTTTTTTTTTCGTCTTAAAATGAAATAATTCATCCTTTATAAAATAATGTTGAAATAGAAACATTTATTTATTTTTTTAAAAAAAAAGAATAAACAATTACTTCTTCTTATTTAGATTTATAAAGTAATAGAATTCATGTATATATTCATTGTAACTCCCGTAAACTTACTTAACGTAGCTATACATACGAAAATAATTTTATCTACAACTACTAAGTTGCAATTTTGATTTTTGTGTCATGTTGTGTTTAGTATGTTTAAGATGCTTGGGTAAAAAAAAAATTATGTTCGGTGTTCTGAAATTTAATGCCCGAGCCCAAATATCTTTTGAAAATATCCATAATTATGTAAGCATAAATTATGTGTCATTTTTTTATATTTGTAGTGTGAAAATAGTTAAAGTTTATGGAAGTATTCATAGGAATATCCTTTTTTGAAAAATTAATTAGTCGGTATTTATTTTTTCATAATGTGTATTTAAAGTGACCATGCAAGTGAAAAATATGTCTCATTTAAAAGGTATGGTCGAAATTTTGGAGCTAGGTAAGGTTAGCAAGTTGGTTAATTTTAATCATCTTTTAATTTCTTTCTTTAGTTAGTGATGTGACATAAAATCTTCCACCATACTTCCAATTGTACTTTTTCACTTAATTTTGAAAGGTTAAACACTCTAACTAGCCTCTCTTTTGTCTCCATCAATTGACATCTCTTACCACAAAAATTAAACACTTGGCATATTAAATATGAAAGAAATAATGATTTAAAAGATGTGATATAAAAAAAATGAAAGGAAAGCTTAAGACTTGCCATCTTTTTTTGTCAAAAATGTATCCTGCAAAGAAGGGAGAGAGAGTGATGGTTTTGTGAGGGAAGAAAGGAAAGAAAGGAAGGAGAAAGAGAAGAAAAAAGCTAAGAAATCTTAACTAAACACACATCATTGTAAGTAGGTTTCATTTAGCATTATTTATGCCTTAAAATTTAAATGTTCATGTTTATTTTATGAGTTTGTTTAAGCTATGTAATATGTGGTTATAGTTGTTTGTGTTGATGTTAAAAATTTGATGTTTGGTGATTGATGTATGATGTTTTGATGATGGATTTATTTTGGAGGTACCACATGCTAGAAATTTTTTAGTTTTAAAATTTGTGTGATTTATTTCGAGATCCTAGAATGGTTTTTGGGCTAAACTCAAAGAATGAAAGTTGTTTATCTATGTGTCTACAAGCTTTATATAACCTTTCATAATTTTTAGATCTATATATAAATAATTATGGCTGATTTGGTACGGATTGTTTGGATGTACCACATGCTGGAAAAATTTTTAGTTTCGAACTTTGTGTGATTTATCTAGGAATCTTAGAGTGATTTCTAGGAACAACTCAAAGAACAAAAGTTGTTCCTCTATGTATCTAATAGCTCTCCGTAAACTTTCATAATTGTTAGATATATATATATATATATATATATATATATAAGGAGTTATGGCCTATTTGGTATATATTATTTAAATGTACAACTCGTTGGAAAATTTTTAGGAAGATATGAGTTTAGGTACTTAAACTTGATTAGTTAAGGTGTTTAGTTAGAATAAGTATTTAATTATACACCTAAGCCACCCTAATATAACCATATGGGTTTGGAAGATATGTATAAATGGGCTTGGACTTAAAATAAAGTGGACTTGAAATAAAACACATGGACTTGGACTAAAACAAAATGGGTTTATACTAAAATGAAAAAGGGTTTGGATTATAATCAATGGACTTGAGTTAAAATAAAAATGAGCTTGGATTAAAATAAAATAGAATTGGATTAAAACAAATGGACTTGGGTTTGGATTAAAAATATGGGATTGGACTAAAATAAAATGGGCTTGGATTAAAATAAAATAGAATAAAATTAAAATAAATGGACTTGGGCTTGGATTAAAATAAATGGGCTTTGACAAAAAAAAAAAAAAAGAGTTTGGATGAAAATAAATGGACTTGGATATTCTAAGAACACTTAGTGGACCTTGGTACTAAGATGGTCAAGTTGGATCGTACTATGAAAATATTGATGAAGACCCAAGTGTGGATTGAATTTCTAAAATGGTATAGATATAAATAGTTTGGTGCTTATGAGATATGAAATATGGTTCATGATACATGAAATGGATTAACCCTATTAGACGAGTCTCATTGTGTGAACTTAATGGTACGGAATCGACGGGTTTAGTACTCATGACTTGATGGAATGTGGTTCATGATACATCACGTGCATCATATGCATATGGGATGGATTAAATTGAGAAAACTCATTGAGTAAAAAACGATGAGGTTTGGTAACCAAATCGAATGAAAATTGGATAGGTTTGGTAACCTATTAGATAAAATAGGTATTAGTAGTCCAGTTGTGTGTGTACTCTAAGTCGTGTGTTTGTACTTGTTAGACGATGGATTCCCGTTAACGAGTGGCTACAACGAGGGATAATTCCGTTGTAACAAAAGGTGAGCTGCGGTTCACCTGGATTAAATATACTCTAAGTCGTGTGCTCGCACTCGTTAGACGATGGATTCCCGCTAACGGTGTCTATAACAAGGGATAATTCCGTTATAGTAGAAGGTGAGCTATGGTTCACTTGGATTAAATATACTCTAAGTTGTGTGTCCGCACTATTAGACAATGGATTCCCACTAATAGTGGCTATAACAAAGGATAATTCCGTTGTAACGAAGGTGAGCTGTAGTTCACTTGGATTAAATATAGAGTAGATTTGTTAATACCCACGGTACCCAAAAATAAAATTTGATAAGTTGAAGTGGGGGAAGTCGAGAAAATCATTGCATATCACGTGCATCATCCTACTTACTAAGCTTTAGCTCACTCGTGTTTATTTCATGCCTTGACGAGTCAAGGTGATACTAATGTTGATAATGAAGCTATCGGTTCCTCTAGAAAAAAGGCTCATGTGTGACACGTCAATGATCTACCTTTATTTATAAATTACATTTTGT